ATATATATATATATGCAGGAGTTTTCAGATCCCTCTAATGACTTGTCATCTATACAAAGCAACAGTGTGACTCACTGCTGTGAGCCCCTCCTCCCCCTCTCAAAGCACTGACAGGAGGTCTGAGCTTGAAGCAGTCGGGCACCTGAAATATTTCCCTGCCGAGTTTAGCCTCGTGTTTTTGTCCATCTCTAGGCAACGTGAGCAAGAAGCTGCCTGAGGGCTGAAGTGGTGGAACTGGTACAACTCATTGGGTCCTCTTTACCCCTCCCGCTGTCTTTGGGTCACACCTGAAACCAGTTGGATACTGTTTATTTTATTAAGTTTTCCACTTTGTGTTTTAGTTCAGAAGATTGTTAATAATTCTGACAGGTGATCAGAGGAGTCTGAGGAAGGATCACATTGGAAGCAAAGGTGTCACTTCCAGACCGGCTTTTCTCTCTTCCAGGAGGGTGTGGCACCTGGCTGTGCTAACAAATAAAATGGTAAATGGACTGAACTTATAGAGTGCTTTTCAAGTCCCTCCGGACCCCAAAGTGCTTTACACTAACAGACATTCACCCATTCACACTCACATTCACACACTGATAAATAAATCTAATTTGACTGATTTTACTTTAGTGACAGTAAGAAACACAAGGGAGAAAATACTTTTTAAAAATCATTAGAATAATAAGAACATAATCAGTTATTCAAAAGTTAAAGTTTAGTGACCTGAAGAGTGCTCTCTTTTCTGACATATTTTAAAGGAAAAGTTTAAACCTCTGATTTGAACAAGCAGACGATTTATAATGCAGGCTAATATGTGTTTAATTGGGCTATTCTGCTTTCATTTAGCCTACCCATGTTTTTATTATTATTTAGTAGTTTTGTGTTTGTTTCAAAGTATTTTGTTACATAAAATGTGTTAAGGGAGTAAAGTTTGACAGGATGAGATGYGGTTTTATCTGAACCCTCAGCTCCTGCAGGATTTGTGTGAAACTCACAAACCATTAGTTCTCTCTCATTCCTGTCAGAGAGCCGTTCAACAAGCAGGAGACACAATCAAGACCCAACAAAGATTCATGGAACTGAGTGTGGAGAACACTTTTTATTTCATTTTTTTTATTACAGCCACGCAACATTAAAATAAAACAAAAGTCTACAGTTTTTAAGTTAAAGCGCCCCAATCTGAGGACGCACAGGTCTCAGCTGAATAGCCGGTGTTTCTCTCGCTTGTCGATATTGATGTTTGTTCGAGAAACAGAACCACCAAAGCAGAAAACCCACAATGAGCACGAGGACACCCACACAGATCAGAGGGGTTGCTACAGATTTCAGATATTCGGGACCTTTTGTTCCATATGTTGCAGAGCTGTTGGTGCTCACAGGTGGGGTGGTGGGAGTCAAACCCATGGTAACCATGAGTCCAACAGCACCAGGGTCTCTTCTCTTCTTTTTGTCTTTCTCCACAGAACAGAAATAGTCTCCCTGGTCTCCCAGCAGGACAGAGTGCAGTTCCAGGGACAGGTCTCCCTTTGACTTCCACTCAGGTGATAAAAACACTCGTCCTTCATATCCTGCTCCATACTCCAATCTTCCATCAGAAAAGTTACATTTCAGAACAGTTGTGTTGTTGTTTTCCCCCAGAACAGACTTCAGGTTTTCTCCCAGAGTTCCAGAGTAACACAGCAGCTTCACTCTGTTCCCTGCAGACACAGACAGGTTGTTGTTGGTGACAGTGTACACCTCCAGCTGGATCACAGAAACAACATCCCCGCCGCAGGAGAACTCGTACAGTCCCTTATCGTTGTAGTTCAGATCCTTTAAGAAAACGCCAGACGGGGAGTTCTCAACCCGGCTCGTGTAGTCTCCCTCTGGGATCCAGACTCCTCGGACACGCTTCGCCACAGGTACTGGAGTGTCATCGTTCAGCCTCTGAGTTAGAGTTAAAATTGCGCAGTTCACCTGAGTTCTTGGGGATAACTCTGCTGTCTTTGTTAAAACTCCTTTGACGAGCTCTTCATTGAGGGAGTCAAAAAAGTAAATAAAATAAAAATGGCGTAAAACACCCAGAGGATGATCTCCATGTTTGCCCGGCAGTCTCTGAGCTGTATGTGACRGAATAAATATGACAGTCAGACTGATGACAGAGCTGTTAAACTCTCCCTGCAGGCAGACAGGAGAAGAGAGTGGCAGTGATCAGATCACATCAAACACTCCCCTCTGCTGGATGATGTGCATCAGTCACCTGCATGCAGCTGTACAGATAAAACTAAATTATTGGGACCGCCGCATGCGAAGCGTAAGCAGGAGTCATATTGTTTTCGTACAATTTATTTTTATTTAACACAAAAACGGCTGCACCGATCAACATGAAATTTGGCAGGACAGTAGATGAGTCTGACCTACACTGTGC